TTATCTTTGTGTGTATCTCTCATTTTTACAGTGTTTCCTGAAAGCAACATATTGTTGAATTTAAATTTTTAATCTGTTATCTGTTTCTGTTTTATGGGTAAATTTGTCCCATTCACATTCTAAGCTACAATTACTTGGTATGTATTTTCCTCCTTCCTATTTTTCCTCACTATCCTTCTCACCCTATTTACCCTTTCTCTAACTCCTCTGCTTTACTTCTACCTGCTACTTTGCTCTTCCATTTCTTAACCTACCCAACCCTCTAAAAGTACCTCCCCTATTCTTTCCCCCTACTCTCTCCCCTTGCCCTGTTACTTCTTTCTGAATTCAGAAGACTTTTATAACCTTCTAGATAGATATATTTCCCTCTTTAACCCATTCTCGATGACAGTAAGATTCTAGCACTGCCCACCCTCCTCCCACTAGCTTCTTCTGTGTCAATTTTTCCTTTTATGCTTCATTTGTATGAGAGAATTACTTCTTTTTATCTCTCCCTACAAAGTTTTATTTTTTTAGAATTACCCCACTCAGATGCTCAGCCCATGTCTTTCTTTCAAACTACCCAAATAATGACGACAATCATAAGAGTACCACTAATCGTTTCACATATACAAAGTAAACAATTTGACCTTATTAAGTCCTTTATAATTGGGTGTTTAATGTTTATCGTATATTTCTCCCAGATGTTATATGTCAAATTTTCCCTTATGTTCTGGGGTTTTTGTCACAAAATCCTTAAAGTCTTTCAGTTTGTTAAATATCCTTTTTTTCATTCACAATTATACTTAACTTTGCTGAATAAGTTACCGTTGGTCGTAACCCCAGGTCTTTTGCTCTACAGAATATAGTATTCCAAGACCTATGTATGGTCCTTCAATGAAGTAGCTTTTAGGTTTTCGGTAATCCTTATTGTAGCTCCATGATATTTAAATTATTTTTTTTCTTATTGCTTCCAATATTTTCTCCTTTACCCGGGAGCTTTGAAACTTGGCTATGATATCCCTGTAAGTTTTTCTCCTGGGATCTCTTTCAGGTGGTGATTGGTGGATTTTTTCTATTTCTGCTTTGCCTTCTCGCTGTAGAACTTCAGGGCAATTTTCCTTGATAATTTCTTGTAACATTGTATCAAGACTTTTTTTTAAATCATAACCTTCAGGTAGTCTGACTATTCTTATATTATTTCTCCTTGATCTGTTCTCCAGGTCAGTCATTTTTCTGATGAGATTCTATGATTGGGTTCTTTTTCCTTTGCTTACTCATTTTTATTTATTTATTTTTTGTTTTATTTTGTTTTCAGCAGTTATTAGTGTAATCAAGTTGTAGTCCAGATGTATGGGGAATGATACCCAAGCCTGAGGTCCTTCTTACTGTTATTTTCTGAGGTTTGTCTGGGGCCGGACCTTGGGCTCTCCTTTCCACTCCTAAACCATAGCTACACTGTCCTGCAAATGATCTTGCTCCCTGCCATCCCTACAGTGGCTGCAAACTACAGCTGTCTTCTCTGCCCTAGAACTGAAACCACAGACCGCTCTCCTGCAAGTATCTACAGCCAACAGTATCTCTGCTCCTTGCTACTGCACTCACCAGGTATATGCTAGCTCCTTCTCCCTGCAGCCACAGCCTAGGATGCGTCTGGTCAGTATGCTATGCTTGGCATCTCTCAATAGTGGAAGGTCCTTCAGTCTTCTCCTACTCAGCTGTCAGACCCCCACACTGTCTGCAAAATAAGTTTCTAAGGTTGAGGCGGCCTCTCAACCCAGCTGCCCCAGGGCTTGTTGTTTGTTGACTCTGAAGTCAGCTTGAAGGTGTTTGTACTTCCCTCTGCCCTCGGAGGTTGGGTCTTTCCAGGGTCTTTTCAGATGGCCTTGAGACAGAAGTTCCCAAACTTATTTGGCCTACTGCCCCCTTTAAAAAAAAATTGCTCAGCATCCCCTGGAAATCTACTTTCTTTAACTTTTTAACAGTTTGTTTTTTGAAATTTGCATCATTTCAAAAAATATAATTTTTTAAAATGACACATCTTAAATTTGATAATTTATTATAAATGTGTGGTTTTTTCTGCATTGAAATTGTGATGCAACTGTATAGTATCATATTGGAAACAAGTCATTACACGCACATATTCCCTCCCGATGCATGCTAGACTTCCTGACCATGCCTGACACCCTTGCCTACCAACACTTGCTTGTTAAGACATGTTGGTAGACTTGACTACTGTTTGCTTATAACTTGCATTTTGTGTGTTTATTTGGAAAATAATGTGTTCACAATGACTTTAACTCCATTACACAATAGTTGAAACATGTACTAATGGTTTTTCAAAATTTTCTTCCCTTTTTTCCTCATGCTTCCATTGCCCTCTTATTTTTATTCAAAGCCCCCTAATTGCACCCGAGGCTACTACCACCCCGTGGATCATTCCACTGCCCCCCAGGAGGTGGTATCTCCCACTTTGGGAACCTCTGTGATTTAGGAGGACCACTGCTTTACCTGGTGTTTTTTTCTGCTGCTCTGAGGTGATGTTCTGTCTTTTTTTTTTTGTGAAGGAAATTTGGGAAGCCGAAAGTTTTCTGACCTACTCCACCATCTTCCTAGAATCCTCTCCCCCTGTGCAGAACTTTAAATGCTAGTTATATTTTATCCTAGAGGTAACAGAGAGCCACTAGAGTTTTTGGAGTGTGTAACTCAGGTGTAGTAACATGGCCAGATCTGCTTTCAGAAATATAGGCTAGATTGGAGAAAGGTGAGACCAGAAGCAGGGAGACCTATGACCAGGAGGCTATTACAAGAATCCTGGTGACAGGTAATGAGGGCCTGAATTAAGGTGGTGGCTGTGTGAGTGGAAAGAATGGGTCAGATGTGAGAGATGCTGTGGAAATAGAAAAGAAAAGATTTGGCAACTGATTGGATGTGTGTTCTCTCTTTACTAGTAACCAATTATTGAATCAGGACCAAAGTTTTTCCCCTTTTCTACTTCCTCATCCAGAAATCAACTAGTATGGAAAATCTTTCTCAAAGACTACTCCTCCTACTCGGTGTATTTACTCAGACAGGTCCAGGAAAATGTGGATTCTCCCTTTTGTCATACAGGTAATATGAAAATTGTTAAGTCTCTTTGACCAAGACTTGGGTGATCCAAGTCATGTAACTGAAGACCTTCATTGGAATATAGCCCAGCCTCTCCTCATAATACTAATTTTCTCATTAATTGTTAACCAATCAGAGTTTATTGCCACCCTCAGGAACACCTGCTCTGCCAGAGCATATAAACTGTGAACCCATTGTCATGAGGGGTCTTTGGCATTTGAGAGGGCCACTGACCTCCTTTTATTCATAAACATGCTAGCCTTATTAATAAAATGATTAAATTACCCAGAAACTATGTTTCTTGAACTTTTTAAATGTCACATATGAGATGAGTGAGAATCAAAGAGGAATCAAAGATAGATAAAAGAAACATTTGTTAAGGGCTTACTATGTGCCAGGCACTAGATTAAGCACTAGGGATCCAGATATAAGCAAACAAGATAGATCCTACCCTTAGCTAGCTAACACTCTAATGGAGTGTTAATACATAAAAGGGAGTTGGAAAGGGAACACACATGACAGCATAGTGTAGAGATGTCTGGGGAGGCCTATTTTCCAACAAGACAAGGCTCCTATCAGAGCTGGAGGAATTAAAGGAAAGATCAAGATTGTAGGGGTGGGGAGATGAGGATGATAACCAGAGTGTAAGTAGAATGGCGAAGACACGTCCAGGAAGTAGGCAAGATATGTGAGATGAAAATAAATGACTTATTAAGGGTAATAAGCAAAGTTGTGAACTGGGATGGCTAGAAGCGTGGTGGTACCCTCAACAGGAATGGGAAATTTCAGAAGAGGGATGGGTTTGTGAAAAAAGCTAAAGTTCTATATTATGTGTGTTATGTTTGAAATCTCTATTGAACATCCAGTTCAAAATGTCTAGAAAGGAGCTGGTGATATGGAACTGGTAGTGATGCTACTACTATCCAGGCCTTTTTCATAAGATATGGTACCAAAGGAAAGAAGACACAAAAAGGAGGCAGCTCCATTCTAGGCACTAGTTTCCCTAGGCTGGACATGTTCATATGACTTGTGGCCAGGTGGGAGATCAGCCAAAAGGGAGCAAGCAACCAATGGAGGATAGGGGGTGGTCACTATCTATTCTTTCTCACTTTCTTCGTGTTCATAGTGGGATCAAAAATCCTCTCATCCATGGACATAGCTATGACTTGAGCAGACTCTATATGGATAGACCATCTGGCCTCTGAACCAGGGTGCATCTGCTGCTCCCACTGTTCCCAGCACCCCACCTAACTCTTGCCCCAGTTCCAGTGTTCACTTAATTACCAAATCTAAGGCCTTTTCTGTATCTTCCTCCTTACTGGCTTCTCAGTAGCTTTGCACACAGCCGATCACCATTGTCTTCTAGATACTCTCACTTCTCTAGATTTTCATGACATTTCTCTCTCCTGATTCTTCTCCCACCCATCTAATTGCTCCTTCTTAGTGTCCTTGCTGGATCTTCATTCAGGTCATACTCCCCCAGGCTCTGTCCAGGCACCCTCCTCTTTTCCGCTATACTCTTTTGTTTGATGTCCTCATCAGCTCCCATGTGTTCAATTATTACTCTCTAGGAAGATAATTCTCAGATCTATATGTCTAGCCTTAATTTCTCTGCTGGGCTCCAGTCCCATGTTACCAAATGCCCTTTGAACATCTAGATCTGGATTTCCTGTAGGTATTTCAAACTCAATCTTCCCAAAAGAGAATAGATTATCTATTTTCCCCAGCCCTACCCCTGTCCCAACCCTCTTCTCTTTCAAACTTTCCTGTTACTGTCAAGGCTACCACTTTCCTCCCAGTCACCCAGTCTCATGGTTCATGGTCATACTTAACTCCTCACTCTCACTTCATACATCAAATTCATTGCTAGACCTTGCCACTTCTACCTGGATAATATCTTGGGTATACCTTACCTTCTTTGTACTCGCACAGACACCACCACTGCACAGGCCCTCACCTCCTCTCACCGAGACAATTGAAATTGCCTTCTAATTGTTCTTCTTGCCCTAAGTCTCTCTCCATTCCAGCATGACTAACTCCAGATTCACAGGAGTTAGAATCAGAGGCACGCTAGTAAATGTTTAATGGTAAATGTTTAATGACTAACCCTCCAGAAAAAAAATGTGCTCAGGAAACACTTTTAAGTTTAATTCACATTATTAACATTTTCCCCCATCACTTTCTTAAGAAAATCAACAAACAATAAATCAAGCTCTGACTCATGGTATTTGCCAATTCTCCAGGCATAAATGCTTACATTGAAAATTTGGCAATCAGATTTCTAGTTTGAGTTGGCTCTAGCACAGCCCTGGTTGGGAGGTACCTCACTCAGAGACAATCTAGTCCAACCCATACCTGAACAAGGACACCCTCTATAAAATGCCCAAAAATTGGTCACCCAGGATTTACTCAAAGACCTAGATCTTGTATTTTAACTGCTTTGTATTTATTCTTTTTACATTTACTTTATATATACCATATATTCTATATATGTGTTCTTGTTACATCTTCTGATGTGGGTTCCATGTAAGGAGAATGGATTGTTTTGCTTATTACATTTGGGTTCCTAAGGCCTAGCATAGTGCCTGGCACAGTGGGCATTTAATAAATGCTTATCAATTGAAAAAGAAAACACATTACGTGCCTCCACTTCCATAAATCCATTCTCTACTGAGCTGCCAAAATGTCACCATCTACTCAATTCCAGGGGCTCCAGGATCAAAATACAGTCTTTTCTTTGCCATTTAAAGCCCTTTACAACCTGGCCCTTATCTACTTTTCTGGTCTTGTAATTTATTTCTCTCCAGGCTTTTACTGTCTAGATTTAATGGCCTACTTCCTAAGTCACATGTGACCCTCCATCTCCCATCCCTGCGCTGATTTGCAGACTGGCAATTCATTCACAGAACTAGACTGGACTGTCCTCCATTGAATGGGGTACAAAAATTTGGCTCTGGAGACAAACACTGGACATCACATGAAACATTCCCACATGTCCTCTGTCACTGTGATACTCAACTGAGTGGGGCTATTACCCAATGAATTTATTTTAAATAGACTCATTAAAACTATCAAAGTGCCAGAAAATGACTGATATTAAGGTAAATTCAACAGTTCTAGGCTTAGAAGAGGCCTTAGGACCAGACTTAGTAATTCTTGGAAAACAGGACCTGACCTACACTATCATAGAGGTTATCATACTCTTTGAAAATAGATCCTCTGCCTTCTGAACAGCCAGGGCTGGCAAGATTGAGAAATATCAGAAAGTATGTAAGAATCTAGCTCAGGAAGGTTATAGGAACCCTAGAATGATGAGATCCTGTGTTATCTACATTAAAAATCAGACCAAGGTGTGTTAGCCTGATGAAGAAATTGATGGTACAGTACTCCATCAGATGGGGCAGGGACATAGACATTGAATATATAACAGAAATTAGGCAGTACTCAGACTAAGTGCTTGAGAAGAACCTAGTGAGAAATAATCGTCTCTTCATTAATTTGTATACAATGTACCATAATGTTCTTTTATTATTTATTTTATAATTGATTTTTACACATATAATGTTTATTTCTTTAGATTTTATACTGCACTTATCAATTATTTGATTATCCCTACAAAATACAATATGTGACCAAAATTTCCTAAAAATCTATTCACTATAGAGGTCTGGCTCAGTAGCAAAATTAGAGGCCTCAACCAAGCCGTGAGTCATACATGGCCAGAAGCTAACGTCTGGAATTCCCATGTGGCACACTAGAGACACATAGAGAATAGATGTGTATGCTATATGGGAGGGGAAAGGCCCCATTAACAACTTAAAAAGCCTCCTCTGCTAGTTAACCTTATACACTTTAAAAACAAAATGGATGAAAAATGCATCTTAGCCTGACTATGACATGTAACTAGATGAGCATCATGTCAATTCAGTGCGTCAGCACAACTATTTGTGACGAGAACTTCAGATGGAAGATGACCTGTGCCCAGAATTGAATAGGAGGAGATTTAGCTGGAATTCATTTTGGTAGTTATGAAGCATTTTCAAGAATTCCCTAGCTTCTCTTTGCTGCCAAAGCCCACTTTTTCAACACCAATATTTTCCAGTAATACTATATAGCTGCTGTGTGGCTTGGTGGATAGAGTCAGTTTCAGAATCAGGAAAAACTGGGTTCAAGTACTTCTCCTAACACATACAGCCTTTGTGTAACTGTGGACAAATCATTTAACCTTTCATTGACCCCATGCAGCTCTCAGACTCTAAAATACAGAAGAGTTACCGATCTGTATTGGTAGAAGGAATTTCCTTTCTGGAAGTTCCCAATGCCAATTACCAATGAGATCATAGGTCTAGTCAGAAATAAACTATGTAGTCTGAAATCAGTGGAACCCCATCATCTCCAAAGGATGGCAACTGGAGGTGATCCAAAATGTCATGAGAAATTGTATAAGTGCCAGCATATCGCTGATGCCCATAGCTCCAGTATGGATCTGAAAGTCTAATCCTGGAGGTGGGCCAATTGTATAGTCTGTGAGGAAGAGCAGCATCCATAGCCCAAAACTATGAACAGAAGAACAGCCCCTCCCCCATTCCACCCTCCAGCACCTTGGGTAAATTATCTACAGGGGATCAGTGAAGCCAGCACTAATGAGAGCACACAGCTAATAAGTATCAGAGCCTCCCAGGGCCTGTTAAAGGCCTTTGACCCAAACCAGGGGTGGGGATGGGCTGTCCAGAGGTCAGGGGCCCAGAAAGGCTGGTTTACTATAACTCTGAGAGATTTTGCCACTTCTCAGAGCTGTGAGAAAGCCTACTCTCTCCATCCCAGTTCCTCACCTTAGTCACCCAACACAGGCTCCCAGACAGTGCCTTGCCTCCAGAGCCCTCAATGCCGGCTTCGCCCATCTTTCTGTCTCACATTCTTTGGGGAGATGCCTTCACCAGGGCCAGTGCCACACGGGAGCAAACACAGGCTCAGGCCTGTAGCTTCTGTGTCCTGAGGAACTCCATTCAACAGCAAACACTTACCATGCATCTGCCGTGTGGACATCGTTCTCCTAAGGGAGTCACTGTGACTCTTCCCTCTTCCCCCCCAACAAATGCTCAGCAAGACTTGCAGTTTCTAACCTTCCCATCCCTCCTATCTGAAATGCAGCCAGCTACTCTGTCTTAGAATTCAGGCTTAGATGTCTTTGGTGCGGAGACAAACTTCCTTCACTGGTACAGACTGGCACCTTCTCTGCAATGTACAGTCCTAGGGAGTGGTGGGAGATGAGAGGCTGTGACTAGCCCCGGGATCACACAGCCAGTACACAGGAGAAGCTAGACTGGAATCTAGGTTTTCCTTGTATCAATCTGGCCTAGATTTTTTTTTTGGCTTGTTTTTAAACATTTTTATTTGTAATTCTTTGTTTTTTCAATTAAGCATTTATTTTCCCTCCCACTTACCCCCCCCACGTCTGCCACTGAGGAAACTCTGTAAACATAGTCAAGCATATTATCTAGCCTGATTTGTTGCAATAGCCTTTTAATTGGTTTTTCTGCTTCCAGCTTTTCCCCTTTCTAATCTATTCTCCACATAGCTGCCAAATTAATATGTTTAATAAAACATGAGCCTGTCACTTCCCTGCTGAAAAATCTTCACTGGCTCCCTATTGCCTCTGAGACAACATTCAAAGGCCTCAGCTGAGCATTTGAAGTCTTTGCTCCACAAATGCGCTTCCTGCCCATTTTTCCAGACCTTTTTCACATCTCCCTCCTTCCTGTACAGTGTATTCCAGCCAAATGGCCGATCTACTTGCTGCTCCTGGAGCTTAACATTGCTTCTGACCTCCGCATGGCCCATCCCACAGGCCTGGAATGCATTCTCCCTTCAAATCCGCATTCCTCCCAGGCTCAGTTCAAGTACCCCCTCTTACTGGAAACTGACGTCCCTCCCACCCTCCCTTTTTAGTGTCTGCTTCCCAATAACATTATCTTCCCCTAATAGAACATAATCCTATTGAGGGCAAAAGTTGTTTTGGTTTGGTTTCTGAATCCCCCCAGTCCTTTCAAAGCTGCTTTGTATATAATAGACCTCATTTAGCCTCTCTGTTTCCTCATTTGTAAAAACGGAGTATTTGCACTTTTTGCCTTACAGATTAAAAAAAAAAAAGGAAAATGTTTTGTAAACTTTAAAATGTAAAACAAATATATTTAAAATTTAAACAATTAAAATTTAAATTTTTCATTTAATTAAAAAATTATGATTTAAATATTTAAAATGTAAATGGGAGCTATTTATTACACTTGGTCCCTCTCTTGGTAGAAGTCATGGTCCAGTAGAGAGATTTAAGGCAAACATACTACAATACACAGAGAAGTACAAAAGGCTATGGGAGGTTTATAGGGAAGGTAACGACTGCCTGGGAGATCTGAGAAAGCATTCTGGATAATCGGGCATTTGACCAGGGTCTTAAAGGGTGAGTAAAATTCACCAAGACAAAAGGAAGAAGCAGGACATCATAAGAAAGAACCTGAAGGAAAGCCTGGAGGTGGGAGACCATAAAGGCAGAGATATGCAGTTTGGCTTAGAGCATAGTATGGAGTAGAGTAGCAGGGGAAAAGGCTGGAAAGAGAGGGTGGTGCCAGGTTGTGGAGAAATTTGAACCCAGGCAAAAGAATTTGAATTTTATTTGGCAGAAGGTAGGGAACCATTTCAGTGTTTTTTTTTTAGCAGAGTTGTGACTTAAAAAAACAGATTTCTCTGAGGAAGATAAGCCTGGCAATGGTGTGAAGGACAGAATGGAGAAGACTGCATGGGGCAAGGTTCCCTAGGCCAACAGCCTGTAACTTGTGTCTTTCCAATCCGGAACCAAACATACTTCTTCAGTGATTTGTGAAGGAAAATGAGCACACTGGCCCTTTCTTTGAGAAGGTGGAGCACTGCATCTGGAGCCAGAGGACCTGGGCTGGAGCCCCAAGCTCTACCACTAACTGACCTTTCCCTTCTCCCTTCTGTAAAATGAGAGAAGCTGGACTAAGTGCCCTCAGAGGTTGCCTTCCCAAGGGCCTCTTGCTGGGGAGGACAGGGAGAGATGAGGCTTTCAGGAAACAGCCTTGGAAGAAGGTCAGACTATGGGCGCCATAAACTAAGAGGAGGCAGGGGTTGTGGTAGTTAGTGGACTCTGGGAGGTACGGATGGGTAGGGCTCAGGGCCAAATCAAAGGCAGTGTGGATAGAGACTGCAAGGTCAGTTATAGGGAACCTTAGGAAGTTCCCAGACAGCCTTTCCTCAGAGAACAATAAGCAGAGGCTGGACCCCCCACAGCCAGACAAAGCACAGTGTAATTAACGCTCTCCCTACAGCTCAGTCTGGGGACATAGAAAGGAGGGAGGCTCAGGCCAGGGAGGACACCAGGTGCTGGGCACCAGGATGGTGGTCTTGTGACCAGCCATGTCCTCCTCAGTGACAGGACACACCCTGCCCTGGAGGTTACCACTTTGTCCTCTGAATTTCTCTGGATCTGGGCAGAAAGCTTATGAGGAAGACTATTTTAGGCTGGTAGTGACCTTAGCCCATGAAGCCCTGCCTGAGATAGTCCTGTCCTCCAGGACCCCACAAAGCTGCAGCTATCAGGCAGGCTGAGATAAGCCTGTACTCTCTGCTGAGTACAGGGTTCCCTGGGCCAGTGACTGAGGGTGAAGGGAGGAAGGGGACTCCAGAAAAGTCTAAAAAGGAATTTGACCCCCACTGATTAGTCCCACTCAGATAGAAAATAGAACTTTTATTCTAAAACTATAGTTGTAACTGGACTTGGGGTCTGAGTCTGAGGGACACTGTGTAGAGTGTCACCTGCTCCCACGTGCCCAGGAATTGTCAGCTGTCTTCTCTGTAATCCCCAGCCCAAGACCTTGTACACAGCCAGTCTCTGGAGAGGTTTGCTGAACTTTGTTCAGTTCTAGGACCAAGAGGATAAGTGACCTGAGGGGGCCAATGGGGAAGCCTCCCAGGAGGGAAAACAACAGAATCCCTGTCTTTGGTCCTCAGTCTCTATTCCTAAGGTTTGGGCCTGATTGTTTGTTTTTTCTTTTTGATTGGGGAAAAGGGTTCCAGGGGGGTAGGGGTGCACTGTGGCACCTAAGCCAATTGGTCTGTCCCTGAGAGATGGGAATTGTGCTAGGGACAACACCTCACCCACTAAGGGAACAAGGCACATGTTGCTCCAGCAGCGATGGAGTTACTTTACTCCTGGGAGGGTAGGGAGTAGAGAAGGGAAGGGCACTCTCAACAAACCCCTTAGGGATCATCAGGGGCTACACATGTCCACACAGTCCTGGCTCCGGTGGAAGACCTGGTAGATGCTCGTTGTGGGGAACATGGCAAGAGCCCCCAGTAGAGAACCTATCTGGATTGCAATGCCCGCTGCCAGCAGCGCAACTCGGCCACCACCATGCAGGAGTGAGCTCACTGCCACCTTCACATAGGAAAAAGTGCCCAGGCATAGGACCCAGGACAGCACCTGGAAGAGGTTAGGAGGAAGCAGAGGGATTTGAGGATAGGGGCCCAGCCAGGAAGACATACCACTTCCCTGTTCCCAGACATACACCAGTTTCCCCAGCCCAGGGCAGTCATTCACTTACCACAAGGACTACACCTGCAGAGGTGCCCACTAAGGGGGGACAGGGGCTCAGGGCTGCCAATACCATCACATAGGTCCCAAAAAAGGTGCCCAGCAGTGAAAGGGCACCCAGACCAGGCAGTGATCTGAGGGAAGAAAGAGCTGCCAATCAGGGGTCTGAGAAGCAGGGATCCCCACCTTCTTCTGTGTCCCCATCTAGATCTTTGCCCATTTCACACTCCTTGGGCTCCTATCCCTGGGCTCTCCCCCAGTGAGCTCCCTCTCTGGGATCTACTATCACCTGTAGAGGACAGCCATGGCCAGGAAGCAGGCGAGCGGACTGGAGGCACTTCCCAACACCACAGCCAGGTGGTAGGCCTGGCGCCCATAGGGCAGGCAGGAATAGCTCTGTATAGAAGGCAGTACCCCGTTGGTCAGGGCATTTGTGGCCCCCAGCAGCCCCAGCAGGCAGGCTCCTCTGACTGAACACAGCTTCAGTGCAGCCTGGGCTCTTTCCTCTGACTCTGGCTCAGGTGTCCCAATCTCCTCTCCTGGCTCCCGAAGTGGTGATGCCTCTTCCTCTGGGGTGGCTCCCTGCCCCTCCCCTTCATTCCTAGGGGTAACTGTGGTGTTTGTGGATGGCAGCAAGAGCAGCAGTCCCTGGAAGGCTGCTGCTGAGATAGCAAGCAGGCTGGTTATCACCCAGAAGAAGGTGCTGGCTGAAAAGTGCTCCTTAAAGTAGATGGGCACCATGGGGCCTGATGGGGAGATGCCAGGGGAGACAGAAACATTGGGGCCTGATGAGGATTGCAAGGTGGAAACCCTAGGGTTGGGAGAGGAGGCTGGTTGGCACTCTAGGCGGCCCACACCTTGGGCCAGAGCCAGCCCACAGGGCAGCAGGGCACTAAGACCCTGACCCAAGAAAAATGAGCGGAGGAAGGATGGGGGCAGATGGGACATGAAGGGAAGGAAAGTGACGTTGGAAGCACAACAGCTCAGGGCCAGTGCAAAGGCTAATGCTAGGAAGGCCACAGCATGGGGCTGCCCTGCCATGGGTACCACATGGGACCACAGAGGAGCCAGCAGCGCCATGCCCACCACACCCAGGGCCTGAACTGCCCGGATTGGGCCCAGTTCACCCTTTGACAGGCGACCCCACAGTGTTACAGCCAGTGGTCCCAGGTTTCCAAAGGCTACCAGCACTGACAGGTAGGAGGGAAGGTTCCACCCTGCAAACAAGAGGAGGCAGGGCTGAGGGTCAACTCTCCCACCCCTAATCCTTCACTACAGTCTCCAAGTGTGGCCCAAAGCCCAGCCTCGATTTCTACCCCCTAGACTCCAATTCTAAACCTTGGCCCCAGGCCCTTTTCACCTCCTCACTCACCTTCAGGCAGGTCCTTTACCAGCACTGGCAACTCTACCCAGATCCCATTGATGGCAATCCAGGAACCCATGGCAAAGAGGGCCACCAGGATGTGTGTGAACACCGTCTGGCCATTGGGGGCTGCCATCCCAGCTGGCCTGAAGGGAAAAGAAATGTCATAGTGATATATGGAAGCTTAGAGGTATGGAGCCTTGTGAGATAGATTGATATGGAAATAAGGAAGCACAAAGACACCAGAACGCCAGCTTTGGAAGTCACAGACAGGTGAACAGATGTGCACTCCAGCTGGGTGAGGGGAAGTCAAGCATGTGTGTGTGTGTGTGTGAGCACATATGTGGAGAGAAGCCTGTGTTAAACCCACCAAACTTCCTGGATTCTCAGAGACGTGGCCTCTATACCACTCCCTCCCACCCCACCCGGTACCTTTAGGTCCTGAGGCTTCAGGGGCCACCTGGACTAGGGCTGGTTCCCGGGTCTCTAGGACTTTAGATAGGGGAGAGGTCAACCTGACCAATGCAAGGCCTGAAGGAGGACCCAAGGTTCAATTCCACTGAGGGGAGGAGAAGGAAAGCTTCCAGTTCGGTTGGCCCACAGCCAAGGACCTCCCTGGTACTCTGAGGAAGGATGAGGATCTAGGACTCTGATAGCAAGGAAAGCTATGGGGGAATTGGAGGGAGGCTCGAAGCCAGTGGTCGGAGTGAGGGCAAAGAGGGCAGGGCCGGGGCACTGGTCTGCAGGGGTGGGGAGCCAGGTCACCTCTGAAGGGGCACCAGCTTCCCCGTGGGGGCTCAGGGAGGTCAAACATAAAAGGAATAAAGGCTGCGGGGGTAAAACAGGATTGGGGGTAAGGGTGTGGGGCGGGGGCGGGGAACGGGGGGCAAGAAGGAAGAAGGGTAATTTTAAACAGGAGTGCACCGGTAGAAAGGAGCACAAATCCTGGATGAGGGTCATTTCCCAGCGCCGCCTCCGCTCTGGGATTAGGCATTTTCCGAGCAGCGGCGACGCCTGGAGATGCCTCCCACCCCCCCCCATCACAGTCGGGGAAATTGAGGCAGGGCACGTGGAAGCCACTCCTCCTACGAGGCTGACCCGCGGCGTCCAGCGCCAGGAGTTGGGAGCCGGGGCCCGGGGCATTTACCGCGCATCTCACCAGGGTCGCGGGACCCCCCGGGCCGGGAGCGTGCGGCAGGTGTCACGCTCCATGCAAGCAAAGCGGAGGAAGTGGAGCCCGGCGAGCCGGCCGGCCCCGCGCAGCGCAGAGCCAAGCGGACTGGCCGGGGCCGAGGAGAGCGTACAGGGAGGGGTGGGGAGAGGGGGGCGCGAGCAGATGGGGGGAGTAGAGGCAACTTACGTGCCGCGACCCCGGAGCCGGCTCCCTGGGGCCCCGCCCCTTGATATCTCCCCGCCCCCCTCGCCGGGACGGGCCGGCCACTCCCGCGCCGGAAGTCCCGCCCAGCGACCACGTGACCGGAAGTGGCGGCTGAACGCGCGGAAGACCGAAAGTCCAAAAAGAGGGTAAGGGAGACCCGAGCCGGAGTCAGGTGAGAGACCCGACACTCTCCCGCCGATTCACCTTCTCCTGGAACTGCCAGGGACCCCTGTGGTGCGCTTTAGGAGCCCCCGTGCACCGGCCACACTCCTCCCCTTCACCTAGCTCTTCTTCCCTCGTAGGGCCCCTCCCCATCTCCAGGGCCCCCTCCTCCCCCAACAGAGCCCCTCCGTGTGGCCCCTTCTCCCCCTTCCCCCCCACACTGCTCCTGGGTTTTTGAGACTTAGCTCCTCCTACCTGTCTGACCTCTCGATCTAATTCCTTCCTTCAGCCAGTGGCCGGCACTGTGCTGTACGCTGAGAAAACCAGAAAAATCCAAACGGGTCCTTGCCCCTAAGGAGTTTAGCTTCAGCCGGGTAAAACAACACTGGACGCCCATAAGCACATGCAAATGCAGGGTGTCCCAAAATTCTGAGTGCGGTTTTTGTTTTTTTGGTAAGGCATTAGGAGTGAAATGACTTGCCCAGGGTCACACAGCTACTAAGTGAGTGCGGTTTTAACCTTTAAAACTGCCCTAGAACTTTTGGGACACAGTGTGTATACACAAGGGAATTGGGAGGGCACGATCCACCGGGAGAATCCTTTTTGAGATTGTCATTCTGGTGCCACCTCCTATGTGTGGTTGTATTCCAAAGCTTTGTCCTCTACACTCTTTCTGTAGGTGATCTTAACAATTCGTTTGGGTTCATTTATCATCTCTGTGCAAAAGACTACCAACATCTACATATCCAGTCCTATTCCCATATCACTTGCTGCCTGCAGGAAATTTCTAGCCAGATGTCTGGGAGGCATCGTCTCCAAAAGGAAATGTATATTTTCTTTATCTTCAGCTATTCCTTCTTCCTCACCATCATATCCATTTGGTTGCCAAACCTTATTGATTGAACCTCCACAGTATTGCTTACTTCTTTTTTCTTTTTTTTTTCTTTTTAAAAAATTTTTAGGAATTTATTTTGATTTATCAACAATCACTTCCATATGCTTTTGAGTTGAAAATTTTTCTCCCCCTTCCTCCCCCCTCGACCTTCCCCAAGACAGCGCACAGTCTGATATAGGCTTTACATTTACATACCCATGAAACATATTTTCACATTAGTGAAGTTGTAAGTAAAAATTAAAAGCAATAGAAGGAACCATCAGAAAGATGAAACAAAACTCAACAGAAGGTAAAAATAAGTGATAGCAATTTGACTTCCATAGTTCTTTCTTTGGATGTGGACAGCATTTTCCATCCCGAGGCCTCTGGAGATGTCTTAGATCCTTGTAATGCTGAGAAGGGTTCAGTTTAACAATATTAGTCATTGCATAATGTGGCTGTTATTGTGTGTACAGAGTCCTCTGGGTTCTGCTCACTTCACTCAGCATCAGACCATATAAGTCTTTCCAGGTTTTTCTGAAGTCAGCCTGTTCATCATTTCTTATAGTACAGTTTACTTCTTTTTTCCCTTCCCTCCACTCAACCTGTTCAGGATCTCAATCAACTCTTGCCTGGACTGTTAAAATAGTTAATTGGTCACCTTGCCTCTAGTATCCTCTCTTTCCAATCTTTCCTCCAAACAAATCAGTATACCTAAAGAACAGGTCTGACCAAGTCACACCTCTGCTTAAGAAACTTCAGTGGCTCCCTATTGCCTTTGGATAAAATACAAACTTCTTACTTTGGCAGTTAGAGCCCTTCACAGTTGGCTTCAACGTAGCTTTCCAGATAATTTCATTTTATCCCCCTTCACACATTCTACATTCCTGACAACTTGGCCTTCTTGTTTTTCTCAATATGGGACATTCCACCATCATGACTCCTTTGTTCATGTCTGGAATGCACTGCTACCTTACCTTTGACTCTTAGAATCCCTAGCTTCCTTCAAGTTTCAGCTGGAGTGCCACTTCCTACAGGCTGCTATTTCTGATTTCCCCAGTCCTCTTGCTCAGTTATTTTGTGTTTACTTTTTATATAATTTATGTTGATTTATTTGCCTATATCCTTCCTCACCCCTTTATCCCCAGTAGCATGTAAAGAGACTGTAGTTTTTGCCCTTAATATTCCTGGTACATAGCACAGTGCCTTTCATATTGTGAGCATTAATAAATGTTTTATGACTGAATGAGGATCCTTTTGGAACTAGTCAGGTGGGCAGACTCAAAGAGTAGCTGTTAAGTATTAAGTATTTGTTCACTTGGGGGATGGTCTGTGAAGGAGTGCCCCAGGTATCTCTTCTTATCAAGGTATAATGTCTCATACTCCACATTTGCAGGTGGTACTGAGTTGGAAGGGATGACTGGGTGACAGTCAGGATCCAAAAATAGAACTCAACAGTCTAAAACATTGAATTGAATCTAATAAGATGAAATTCAGTAAGAATAAATACAAAGTTTTATGCTTGATTTCAACAAAATTGACTTTATAAGTATAGACTAGAGTGGGGTATGTTTAGGCATCAGTTTTTCTGAAAAAGATTTGTGGGCTTTAGTGTAACTGCAAGTTTAATATGAGTCATTAGTGTGATTTCTCAACAAAAAAAGCAAATTCAGTTTTGGGCTTCATTTAGAGAGGCATAATTTCCAATAGCTCAATTGACAAGCATTTGTTAAGCACCTGGGCACATTAGCTCACAGTAACCTATTTGCTGTCCCTCATAGCATGAAACTCTTGTCTCTCACTTCCATGGCTTTGCAGTGGCTATCTGCCTTGCCTGATTCTTTCTTTCAAGACCCAGCTCTAGCCCGTCTTTCTACATAAAGTGTTTCCTGATCCCAGCTGCCAAATCCCAGAGACAAATACTGTGCTAAGAACTGGAAATACAAAGACAAATGTAACAATCCTTGCCCTCACTGAGTTTACATTTTAACAGAGGAGACATTTGCCTTTATGAAATATACAGAATGTAAATATAACATAAATACAGGATATTTCGAGGTATAGGTTTGATCCCAGAAGACTTCATATAAAAGGTGCTCTTGAAGGAAAGCAGAGATTCCAAGACACAACGATGAGGAGGGGATGCATTCCAGCCATGAGACAGAGCCTGGGCAAATGCATCAGAGGAAGAGATAGAACGGCACATGTTGGAAGCCGCAAGTAAGTCAGGGTAGCTGAACTGTGAAGTGAATGGAGAAGAGCAATATAATCAGACTGGAAAGGCAGGAAGAAATCCAGTTGTGAAGAGCTTTATTTTTTAAAAGTAGATTTTCATTGATATTTTTCATTTTTACATTACCTCCATTTCCCGGTGTATCCCATTTTTTCTCCTCCTCTCAGAGCCATCATTTGTAACAGTTAAAAAGAGGAAAGAAAATTTACCAAAACTAAACCAACACACCAAGAAAGTCAAACGTTACAGTATTCCATGCCTATAGTTTCTCACTTCAACCATTTACATTACCGCTTTTCTTCGTATCTCCAACACTTAGCACAATGCCTGGCGCATAGTGTGCACTTAATAAATGCTTGTTGACTAGGAAAGGTCTCGTATACTCTAAAATATTTGTAGCAGCACATTTTGTAGTGGAAAACAAAATAGGTGCCCACTGACAGAGGAATGGTTAAGCAAGATGTAGTACATGAATATATTACTGTGCTGTAAAAAACAGCAAACTTGATGAGTCTGAAGAATTATGCATGAACTGATGATGCAAAGTGAAGTGAGAGGAACAGGAAGACAATATGTACACAGACTATAATAATATAAATGGAAATAGCAAAACAACTGAAACTAAATGCTGTGAAGTTATAATGACTAAACTTAGCCCAAAGAGAAGACATGAGAAGGTACCTTCCTCTCTTCTTGGTTGCGGGGAGGGGTAAAAATGGGATACACTGGGAGATGTGTTTCATAGCCGACTCATATTGAACTTGGGAGTCCACAAAAACCCATAGATCTTGTTTATGTGAATGGTTGGTTATCCGTTCATCTATCCATCTCAAATGTACTCATGCAGTTTTTTTTTTCAATCCAGTGCAGTATCAGACTGCATTTATCCCCGTTAAATTTCATCTGGTATGATTCAGCACATTAGACCTTTTTTGAATCTTATTGTTGAATGCCTTAATTATCCCTTCAAACTGTGTGGAATCAAATCTTATAAGCATGCTGTCTCATTCCATCTCAACCTTTTTGGGACTTAAGAAAGTTTCCATTAAAGAGTCAAACAGGCTAATAATACTTAAAAGAATAAGTCTTAATTATGGCACATTTAACTCACACAGGGGAAGTCCTAAGGCCTGAGACGAGACACCAAGGGAACATAGGGCTACAGGGAAAGGATACAACGAGGAGGTCTCCATACCTCAGGCATATGGTCTTTCGATCATGAGAGGAGCTGGGGGAGGGTCACTGTTGATCCTTCAGAGAGGCTGCCCCTGGACTTGACACCCTCCTCTGCCAACTCTCTTCTGTTACTCCTCATTGTGGAAGAGGTGGGTGACATCTGGTCTCCTCCACACCAGGGCAGCTTGACAGTGTAGACATGAGTCCTGATAAGAAGGAAGTGGTTCTTGCTTGGGTATTTCTGATTGTTTGCCCGTCTCTGATGTCATAAGCAGAGTGAGGCTAGGGATTGACTGATTATAACCCCCCCTTCCCCTGTCTCTGTACAAGCATGGGGCATTGAAGTTTGTAGCAGAAGGTAATGGAAGTCTCCAGGAAAAGACAAGATAGTAAGGCGTTGAGTAGGAGTAGAGGATGTATTAAAAAAAGAAGCATCCTTTTACAAGTGAGCTTTATGAAACTCAGAGAGTTCCAAAACCAGAGGGATTTTTTGAATATTCACATACCACTTACACCTTCACCCAAGTCACTAACAAAAATGTTGAACAGCAGAGCCAAAGATGGGATCCTTCCAGGAGAGAGCTCTCTTCATTTTGACATCAATATGATGATGACTATTCTTTGGGTCCCCACCCAGTGGTACACTCATTTGTCCCACATCTGTCTATCTTGTTCACAAGGAGAGTAAGAGAGACTTTTTTGTCAAATGTTTTTTCTAAAATCTATGTATATTCTGTCTATAGTATTCCCTGATTTCCCATCTCAATATGTTTGTAATCCAGTCCTTCCTTTAGCGCAGACCAGACTTACCATGCCTTCTGCATCCTGAGTGAGTCATGTCCTTGAGCTTTAGAAAATCCTCCTCAGATTATCTGTTCCAGAAACATCAAACAGAAACTCATCTTGACTTAGAAAACCACAAATTAACATCATCTCTGTTGTATAGTTTTTATTTTGCTAAGCATTTCCCAATTACATTTTAATCTTGTTCAGGTAGGCCGCGAATTTGACCCATCTGGTCTATCCACCAGTTCTTCTAGGTCTTTTAATATTCTGTCAATACCAGTGGCATGCAACATTTAGATTATTCGTCAGCTGTCAGTCTTTCATGTTACATGGTATAGTTGTTATTTTTATGACACTTGTATGCAAGTCATCTTTGGTAATACAGTATCACTGGCATCAGTCAATCAATAAGAATTCATTCGATGTGCTGTGTGCCGAGCACGGTGCTAGGCACAGTGGACACAAGTGGAACAATCCTGTCTCTCTAAGAGTTTCTGTTCTGTGCAAGGATACAACATACACATACACAAGCACATGGTAAATAAACACAGGGTGATTTTTAGAGGGAAGCTGCTAGCAGTTAGTGGAATCAGGAACGTCTTCATGGAGAAGGTAGAACTCAAGCTGAGAAATTCTAACGGCAAAGGCGAAGAGGAAGAGCACTCCAGCCATTGGAGATGGGTAGTGTCATGTGTGAGCAACAGCAAGGGGCCCATTTGGCTGGATTGGAGTGTGTCGCAAAGGGGGTGAAATATAATGAGCCTGGAGAGGTAGGTGAGGGTGTGCTTGTGAAGGGCTTTAAGAGGCAGAGGAGTGTATGCTTTCTCTTATAAGCAGTAGGAAGCAACTGAGCATGAAAATCATGTAGTGGGCTTTAGAAAAATCACTTTGGTGGTTGAAGGGAAGATGGTTCAGAGTGAGAAGAGACTTGAGACTACTTATTAGTAGGCTGTCGTAATGGTCCATGTGAGAGGTAGCTAGGGCCTGACCTAAGGTGGGGTGGTGGCGAGGTAAATAGAGAAAAGGTGTTGGATGTGAGAGATGTCATGGATGCAGAAACGACAGGATTCAGTCGCTGATTGTATTTGTGGGTTTAAAGAAAATGAGGAGTCATCTGGCATGTACCTTTCACCAGTCTGGTGACACTGACCCCACTCTCCAAAAAATGGGTTTAGGTTGGTGTGACAGGGGATTTCTTTTTTCTTTTTTTAGGCAGTTGGGGTTAAGTGACTTGCTCATGGTCACACAGCTAGTAAATGTGAAGTGTTTGGTCTGAGGCTAGATTTGAACTCAGGTCCCCCTGACTTCAGGGCTGGTGCTCTATCCTCTGTACCACCTAGCTGCCCGACAGTGGGGATTTCATGTGAGTTCTTTGTCCTCATCTTTGGGGTTCATTACAAATGTTCTTTTCTTAACACTGACCCTTCTGGTTTCTCTTACAGGATCCCCCAGGGGCACCATTATGATTTGCCCCATCTCTTGAGAACATGGAGGAAGTCCCTGAGGACTCCAGCAATAGGATGGCTCTACCTCCTCAAGAGGACTCTAGTTCATCACAGCAATCACATTTCAAGCCTAGCAAGAGGTCAAGGTCCTCGGTTCTGGTTGGGCCCCCCCAGAAGAAAAAGAAGAGAAAAAGTTCGCGGAGACGGCCATCTGCAAGGGTTGGTTACCACATTCATGAAGCTGAGGACATGCTGCTGATTGTACCCAATCTGGAAGAGCCAGCACCACGGGCCCACAGGAAAAAGGCTTGCCATCTCAGGAAGTTAGCTCGACCAAAGGTCCAGCAGTCGAAGTGTCACCAGCCACGTCGAGTGGAGAACCCAAACAATGCAGATCTCAGCCTAGTGCAGGGGAGGCAGTCTTCTCCTCAGGACAGTACTACTTTAGGGCCGGGCTGGGGAGACCATATTCCTCTGGAGATCTTGGTTCAAATATTCCAAGTGTTAGTGGCATCTGAAGGGGCAGTGCCCTTCCTTTGCAGGTATCCAATCCTTCTCCGAAAGGCTGGGTTAGAAAGATTTTTAAGGGTGGGACTGCAAGAAGGCATTCCAAATATAGTGCTGTGGACCGTGTGGGGCTGGAGAGGCAAGAAAGGAAGGAGGCCAGCTTAGGCCATTTTTTTTATTTTAGTGTCCCAAGTGGGAGGTGCTATGGATGAGGGCCTAAGTAGCTTACTAGGGAGACAGGAATAGCAGAACCCCTTGTGCCTTTCAGGGCTGCCCGGGTGTGCCGCCTGTGGTATGATGCTGCTTCCCACTCCGTGCTGTGGCAGAAGGTGTCTCTGGCCCCACCTTGGCCTTCTCGCTCAAAAGGTCCTCCATCAAAGTTGGAGAAGAGGATTCTCAGTTCTCTAGAATGGCTGGTGCCCAACAGGTGAGGATAATGTTCCCACTTCATGCAGTGTGTTTTCTGCCTATGTCCTTTGGCTTGGTTGCGTCCTCTGGCATTAGCTTACTCCTAGTTTGAGACAGCCCTTCACAGGGTTGAAATCCCTCCTGCTGAAGGGAGTGGCAAGGGAAAGGATTTCTCCTGGCACCTAGCACCACTCTCGAATGAATCTTTTTGCTTGGACTAGGGGAGGTAGAAGGGATGGAGGGGTGGCTATCTAGGGGATCCCAGAAGGATGGCCCATGCATTTTTGTGAGGAGGGAGTAGCTGAATGTGAGATCTTGGAAAGAGATACAGAAAAGATAAAGAAAGAGACATACCTATTTCTTTATGGCAGGTTTTCATTACTCCGGGAGCTCTCTCTATCTCACTGGAAAAACTATGTACCTCTGATGCTGAAGGTAAGGAGATTGGGATGGGGGGCTGGGAGGGATATGCTGTCCTCTAACCCTGATGTGTTTCTCCTTGAACTGAAAGACAACCTATTCTTTTTGCATCAAATTGCATTGTAAGTGCTAACATTTCCTATCAACATGCACCTTCCTCACCTAGGCCAGGAGTGCATAGTGGGCAGGAACTCTCCCTGCTGTTTACCTGCCCTCCTTCTGGGCAGAATCAAACGGGTCTTCCTAGTATTACCCTCTAAATTCTATTCTCTGCTGGTAGGGGAAGGAAGATTCAGATCCCTGAATAGAACTCTTCCCTCTCCCTAGGTAACTAGGTGGTGCAGCAGATAGCTCTGGGCCTGGTGTCAGGAAGGCCTGAGTTCAAATCCATCTTCAGATACTTACTAGCTATGTGACTTCAGACAAGTCACTTAACCTCTGCCTCAGTTTCCTCAACTGTTAAATGAGGCTAATAATAGCACCTGCCTCTGAGGGTTGTTGTGAGGATAAAATGAGATAATATTTGTAAAAAGCACATAGCACAGTACCTGGCACTTAGTAAGTCCTATATAAACCCTCATCCCCCTTCCTCCTCCTTTCCTCCCTCTTCTATTTTATCTACCCCTTCCCCTTCCCCCGTTCCTTTCTCCACCCGTTACTTATTTTCCACTCTGTCCTAGAGTTAGGAATGGGGAAAATAGGAACCTGAGGAAAAGAAAAGTGGGCTCCAGCCTTGGTTGAACACCTGTGGGTATGGACACCGTCACTGCTGCTATCGTAGGTTGGCCATGTCGTTCCCTTGCTGAAGACTCTTCAGCAGCTCCCCATTGCTTCTAGGATCACACACACACTTTTCTAGTTGGTGTTAAAGCTCTTTACGATCTGGCTTCGAGTTAGCTTTCCCAGCTGATCAGACATCACTCCCCATCACTCTCTACTTTGTGCTGTAGCCAAACTGGACTGTTTGCTGTTACCTATCTGGGACATTTTGTCTCCCACCTGCATACCTTTACCTAGGAGTGCCTTGCTTGAAGTATTCTGTCTCCTCCCCTGCACTTTGTAGACTCCTTACCTTTCCATAGAGCACAGCTCCAGGACCCTCCCTCCCACTTCCCCTTCCAGGAAGCCTTTCCCAATCCTTCCACATATTTATACTCTTATTCCTACGAAACAAACAAAAACAGCAAACTGTGTTATATGTGCCTTGTATGTTGTGGAGGCAGCATGCTAGGCATTGAAAGAAGAAGGCAAAGATGAGGAGGGAACATATTCCAGACGTGTGGAATGGCCTATGCAAATGCACAAAGATAGAAGATCGTGTGTCAATTAGTATTCCCGTTTGGCTGGATTGTGAAATATATGAAGGGAAATAATATGAAATATGGGTGGGAGGGTAGTTGGATGCCTGAGGTGGGAGGGCAGAAGGGGTGGAATTGGATCAGGCATGGCTTCCCTCCCTTGTGGGGCCAGAGGAACCAAGAGGGGTACTAGAGCTGGCCCATGATGGGAGGGCATCTGTGGTGGCTTGGATAACGCCAAGGTGCCTTCTGTCCTAACAGGCTGTCAGTGAGTCTTGTCCCCACCTCGCATCTCTCAAGCTTTCCCACTGTCAGTCAGTGACAGCAGAGGCCTTGGTCACTCTGCCGAGGGCCTGCCCCCAGCTGGATAGCCTCAATCTGCAGAACTCCCAGGTGAGTGCTCTGTCCCACCTGTCCATCATGGACTATTACTGTTCACCCTCTCTCACCCCTAAAAAGTTGCCTAGCAATGATCTGCTCCACGTTTGTTTTCAGGTGGAGTCAGCAGCAGTAGTTGGCTTTCTGGAGGCAGCAGGCAAACAACTCAGGCAATTGTGGCTAACTTATAGTAGCCAAATGACCTCCATCATCTCCTCATTGTCGGTGAGCCTCACCTGATGGAGCTGGGAGAAAGGATGGAGCAGGGAATGGTAGGGGGCAGGGGAAATAGAGGGGAGGCTGTGTTTGGGGAAATGGGGACTTCCGTGCCTGTCCCTGAGCTGAGCTCTATGCTACTTCCCTACCCTCTAATCCTCATCACCCCGATCTCCCTGGCAGAATGGATGCTGCCCCCAGCTTCAGGTCCTTGAGGTGGACACAGGGATAAAACCCAATAGTCAACACTTTCAGCTGCACATTGAAGCTCTGCAAGCTGGCTGTCCCCAGCTCCAGGTATTCCCATCCCCAATCATAGATATCCCCTTGTCCCCAGTTGTAGGTGTCCTTCAGTCTCAGCTATAGCTGTTGTTACTCCCCAGCCCCAAGTATCTCTCATTTTCAGTTACTTTTATCCCTGGCTGCTGGTGCCAGACCGCTAGGGGACTAGTATCACTCTCTATTCTCAGCAACCAGCAGGCCTCTGCTGTGGTATGGTCACACACCCCCCACCCCCTCCTTGGTCTCCCTTCACTTCCCAGCTATTGTTATCCCCATCTCTAGGTCCACTCCATCCACCTTTGTTCCTAGGTGCAGACACCCCCCCTCCACTGCCTTGATTACAAAATAAAGCTGCTTCCTGGTATATGTCTGTTCCCTCCCTTGCCCTCTGATCTCTCTCTTAGCCTAAAGATCTGACTCTGAGCTCCTACCACTTGGAACATCTGCTGAACTCTGAGCCAGAGTCCCCTTCCTCCACTCACAGGTCCTACGGTTACTGAACTTGGTTTGGTCTCCCAAGATGGGAGGGCGTGGGGTACCCCTGGGGCCTGGTTTCCCAGACCTGGAGGAGCTCTGCCTGGCCACATCCACCATTACCTATGTGAGTGACGAGGTCCTGCACCGCCTGCTGCACAGATCTCCTCGCCTTCGGGTACTGGACCTCCGAGGCTGTGCCCGCCTCACGCCTGCAGGCCTGGCCAGCTTGCCTTGCCCTGGTGAGAACTGGGCCTGTCCTGCCTTGGCCTGCCTGGCCTGGGGTACATGGGATACTAAGGGGGAAAAGATGCACGTGGGTGAGGACATGCAGAATGTTGTAGTATAGAGGAGAGAGGGCTGTGCGTGGATCGAGGAAGGTCCAAGTTTAAATCTTGCCTCTGACATGTATTAGCCATGTGATCATGGGCAAGTCACTTCCTCTCATCAGATTTCAATCTCTTTAACTGTGAAATGATGAGAATAATACCTATTATTAGGTACCACCCTCTCAGGTTTGTGGTGTGGCTTAAGTCAGATAATAAATATAAAACGATTTGCAAACTTTAAAGTGATTTATAAGTGTTAATTATTATTTATAGCAGTGTTAATACTAATTTTATTTTAAGGAAAATACAACACAAGCATAAACTCTGATATGCAGTATTGCTGGTCAGTGCATCAGAAAAGTGTAGTATTGTGTGAGATCAGAGGGGGAAGATAATTTCCAACTGTGGAGGAGGGAAAGCTTCCTAGAAAAGGTGGGAGCCTACTAGTACAAGGGATGAGGAAGACTAAGCCAGTGATCTTGGAGGAGGTGGGAAAGGTCGAAGTGGGAGGATTCGGCGGCTGGTATGGTTTTTGACCTCAGGGTATAGATAGGGAGTCTAACCTGAGGGTTCAAGTCAAGGTGTCTGGGTTGTACCCTGCAGACCTGATCACCCTTCCCCTTCTCTCTCTACTCAGACCTGGAACAGCTACATCTGGGCCTGTATGGTTCAGTAATTTGGGTGGCCCTGCCCAAGGAGGGAAGCCCTTTGCTCACGTGGAAGTGGCATCGCACTCTCCAGGAGCTAGACCTGAATGGCCAGTGCTACCATGAAGAGGATCTGAAGCAGGCCCTGATAGCTTTCTCAAGCACAGAGAGTGGGCACAGCCCCATCCTTCGCTCTCTCAACCTCAAGGGCACCCAAGTTACTGTGGCATCTATCAGGTCAGGACCTAACTAAGCTTTAAAGCTCTGCATTGTCACCATGTCTACTCCTTGCCCGGCATCGCCTCACCCCAGAGCTTTTTCCCTTCCTTCCCTCTCTTCAGATCTATCAATCTATGATTCCCCTGTACCCTCCTCCTTTCCTCCTTTGTGTTACTGCTCTCCTTTTTCCTTCCTCTGTGAACTCTACTCTTCCACAAAAACTCTTCTTGTCTCTTCGTCCCGAACATGCCTTTCCTCTGTCCTCCCTGCCTCTGAAATCTCTCTTCCCTTCCCTCAGACCTCCTTCTCTCTTCCTCAGAACCTGCTTTCCTCCCTCTCCCAGTCTTCTTTTCACTCTTCTCCCCCAAACTCTCTATCTTCCTTTCCCTGAAAAGCCTTTGTTCCCTCCCTCCACAAAACCCTTCTTTCCCTTCCTCCACAAAACCCTTCTTTCTCTTCAGATCTTCTTTCCTCGCTTTATAGGGAGGACTCAGGGAGCACCTCCGTCCCTTGATCCCTTAACCTTAGCTCAGTAACTTTGGAGTAGTTTCTATTTAATATGTAACTATGTAAGCTGTGGGCCTCAGGCATTTTACAGCTGTATTCTGCCACGCCTCTCGGACTGAGGGCTGATAGGTTATGGGACAGAGAAGCAGTTCTGATGCTTACTGACTGCCCCCTTTCTGTGTTTCCACAGCTCTGTGATCAGCAGCTGCCCAGCTCTCAGCTACCTCAACCTGTCCTCATGCAGATACCTTCCTCGGGGCCTGAAGAAGGCCTACCGAGGACAGGCAGAGATCCAGTGGTGCTTGGACCAGCTCCTTACCGCCACCTAGGACCCAGGCTGAGCTCTTCAGCTGTTTCATTCACTCCCCCTTCATCCCTTCCTGGACACTCTTCCTCTTCTCCCATTTTAAAAACTATTAAAGATTTATAGAATTAAAATCCTTTTCTAAAAATAGCCAGAAGCATATCCATCCTGGGACAGGAAGGAAAAGGTCTGAGGGCATTGAGGGGGATTTCAAGCCAGATTTCCAGAGATGTCTTAAATTCATCATCTCTGAAAAAGCCCTGGCATCCACTGTCTTCTGAATGAAGCCTTTCCTGACTCCTCCCATGCAACTGCAAGTGTCCTTCTGACAGGCGATCTTGTATTTAACTACTTTGTATATATTTGTATATTTTTATAGCTATGTGTCTTTCTCGTTAGAATGTAAACTGCTTTTGAGTGGGATTTTTTTCATTCTTTATACTTTTATCACCAGTGCTTAGTGTGAGAGGCATGCAGTAGGTGCCTAATAAATACTTGTTGATTGATTGACTGCTCTTTACCTCGTTCTCTGCATCTATGAAGGGTATGAGAATAAAGGGCCCAAGTCCTACAGCCTTTCTTTAGCCCATGAGAAGTTCTTGACCATATTCTGTAAATCCTCCATCAAAGGCCTAACAGTCCAACACCCCGGAAATCTCCCACTTGTTCTTTTAACACGTGGATACCAGTGTATGTAGCCTTTGGTCTATCCAAATGTTTATTCTTCATTTTTGTTGAAAGTTGTGTTTGATACCTTCTGTTTTTACCTCACAATCATTCCCCACGTCAGCACCTCCCCCTCATCGTTAAACCAGTTCAGTAAAGCCAATCGATGTAGCAACTGCATCTGACAGTTTATGCAACACCCCATAACTTGAGCCCCCTGCCTCTCTACAGAATGGGAGGAAATGTATTTCAACATCTGTTTTCCTAAACCAAGAAAGATTATGAGATTGGTCACTACAGTTAATCAGCCGCCTTTTAGAATTGTTTGCGTTGATATTGTAGACATTGTGTTCACTGCATTGGTCCCTCTTCACTCAGTTCATAAAAATTTCCTGATGTAACTGAATTCTTCATGTGCATTTCTTGTGTCTGTGACATTCCTAGGAGTTTTCGTTTTGTGCTTTTAGGAAGAGACAGGTGGATTTTTCTATTTTTCTGTTTGCCCTCTTGTTCTAATATATCAGGGCAGTTTCTGTTTGTCATTTCTTGAAATATGAATTTTAGGTAGTCCGATGAATTTTCATATTATCTCTCTTTGATTTGCATTAGTTGAAATTAGCCCCCTGTGCAGGAATTCCTTCGTTTTGGCTTGATTTCCTGGGGGGCTTAATTTAGGTTTGGGCCTAGGCCATTTCTCTGTCTCCTTATACAGTCCCAAACCCACGGTTGTGGTGCTGACAGTCCCCATCCGGATGTTGATTTCACTGGTCACAGGCCTCCTACAAGGCCTTCCAGGTTCTGCCCTGGTACTTTGTCCTGCTGTAGCATGGGCAAAGGGCTGCCTGGGAACTGGTAAAAATGGCGCTCTCTCCTTTGTGGCTCAGGCATAAATTGTGTGGGCACTTGTCCAGCCCTTTCTGCCTGTGGTTGTCCAGGCTGCTTCCTTGATGTGTCTTTTGCCTACCCTGGTTTATCTCAACTCGGAGCATTAGGGCTCTCTAGCACTCTTTTTATGCAGCCCTGAACTGGACAGAGTAGCCTATAGACATTTATTTCTCTCTGGTTTTCCTTGCTATTGTTACTTCCAGTGCATTTTTGGAGCTTTACTGCAGTGTTTAAAGTCCATGCTTCTCTAGGTCTTCACATACCACCATCTCAGCCATTTATAGTAGGAACTGCTAGGGCTGAGTAGAAGTTTCAGAAAAACCTGGGAAGACTTATATGAGCTGATGCAAAGTGAAATGAACAGAACCAGGAGAACATTGTACACAGTAACAGCAATATTGTTGATCACCTGTGAATGACTTAGCTATTCTCAGCAATGCAGTGATTCAAGACAATTCCGAAGGACTTATGATAAAAAATGCTATCCACCTCCAGAGAAAGAACTGATGGAGTCTGAATATAGATTGAAGCATATGTTTTGTTACTTTATTTTTCTTGTTTGTTTTTTGGTCTGTGTTTTCTTTTACAACATGGTAATATGGAAATATGTGTTATATGATTGCACATGTATAATCTATATCAAATTGCTTGTCGTGTCAAGGGGGTGGAGGGGAGGGAGAGAGGGAAAGAACTACAAACTCAAAATTTTAAAAGATAAATATTAAAAAATATTTTACATGTAATCGAGAAAATTTTTTTTTAAAATAACATTAGAGCACATTATCAGAAAAAAAGGAAAAATATACAGTGTCCTATAGCCATGAACAGAGTGGGGTAGGGGTGTCTTGTCATATCTCTTCTTTGGAGCCATGCTTATTCTTCGTAATTTCTCAATATTTATTATTGTATATAATATTTTCCTAGCTCTATTCTCCATCAGCTGATTTGTCTTTTCATGCTTCTTTATATTCATCATGCTCATTGTTTCTTAAGGTATAATGATATTTCATTACCTTCAGGTAAATCACAATTTTTTAGCTGCTCTCTAGTTTATAGGCGTCTACTTTGTTTCTAATTCTTTGCTACCACAAAGAGTGCTGCTAAATATTTTTCTGTTTATGGGCCCTTTCTTGGCCCCATAGCAAGATTGAAGGGTATAGACATTTTAACTACTTTAACCAATATGGGAAACACATACCTTACATTTCCATTAAAGCTTGTTTGTTTTTTTCAAATTATATTTTGAAATATGCTCACATGCTCACACAACTAGAAGTGAATGCAGAAGCCCTCTTGCCCAATTCTTTTTTTTTTTTTTTTTGGTGAGGCAGTTGGGGTTAAGTGACTTGCCCAGAGTCACACAGGTAGTAAATTGTATGTGTCTGAGGCCGATTTGAACTCAGGTCCTCCTGACTCCAGGGCCAGTGTTCTATCCACTGTGCCACCTAGCTGCCCCCATCTAGCCCAATTCTTACCTGAAACATGAATTCTGTCTCCAATATCTTTACATTCGCCTTCTGTGGGAAAACCTCAAGTGATGGGAAACGAATGACCTCCCAAGTCAGCTCATTTCATTCTTGTACAGTTTGGAAGTTTTTCCTTACATTTGACCAAAATTTGTCTCTTGCATAACTCATCTATTGTGGCTAGCTCTATACTCTGGAACTACATATTTGAAGACAGCTCTCATGTCCTTCCTCCCTAAGTCTTTTCTTCTCCAGGTTAAATATGTCCAGTTAACCATTCATTAATCATATGGCATAGGGGAGGAGACATTCTGACATATTAATAAATCTTTGTACTACTTGGCTTCAAATCCCCTGACCAGCATGCTCTTTTTGCACTTTTCCAGCTTTTTTATATGCCCCTATCCAATTTTTTTGAGACTAGGTCTTCCTATCTTGCCCAGGCTAGAAGTTAAGTGGCCTCTCATGGGGCTTATCCCACCACTAATTGGCATGGAAGCCTTGGCCAGTTCTCTTTCTGACCAAGGCTGGTTCATCACCATCATCACCCACTCCCAGGGATTCACAATACTGGTGCCAGATTAAGTGCAAATACCTCATTGACTTTAACTCTACTGCAGCTCAGAAATTCTAAACTCAGCAGCAGGTGTTATGGACATACACCACCATGCCCAATTTGTTGCACCACGTAATAAATGCGGCCCCAGAACTGAAGACAATAGTCTTGGTCTGAAAAAGGCATAGTACAGTGAAACTTTCATCTTTCTCACTTTGGACACTGTACTTATGTTAATGCAGCCTAAAGATAAGAACTATTGAATCTTAAGGTCGGAGGGGACTTCTACGACCATATGATCCCACTCCCACTAGTTGTATGACCTTAGGCACTTCACATCTATGGGCTCCAGTCTGCCCTCTCTAAAACAGGACACATTGGGCTAGATGATCTTGAAGCCCTCTTCCATGATATGCCATAACCTTTTGAAGTTAGTAACGTTTAACTTGGATAAGAGAGGGCTGAGGGGGAGGAGAGTCCATGAGATCTATCCTTGTGTCTTTAAAGGGCTGTCATGTTGTTCATTCTTCATTTTTGAAGAGGATCAATGACATCACAAGGGTGATGTCTTGACTTGCACATGGATTTGATATGAGTGGGGCAGAGTAGCCCAAAGTCCTCAGCCTCACTTTCTCCTCCAGAGTCTGGGCTGTCATTTGGAAGAGTTCTTCTTGGTCTTATTCCCCTTGGCTCCAGAGGACAGAATCAGAAGCTAAGGGTGGAACTTGGAGAGATGGAGTTTGGATCAGGAGGAGGAACCTCCTAGAACTGTCACAATGTTGTCTGAAGGAAGCAGGGTCCTCTCCACGAGAGGTTTTCAAGCAGAGGCTGCATGCCTACTTGTCAGGAATGTCTTTGAGCCAATTTGTCTTCAAGTATAGGTTGGCTTAGTTGACCTCTGAGGTCCTTCCCAAACAAAGCTAAGATTCTGTAATTCTGCGGTGCTGCTTTTAATGCACTGAAAACTTACTATGAGTCAGTCACACAAAGGAGCAGCCGAAAAAGCTAACAGGATCTTAGGCTCCATGAATTGAGGGACAATGTCTAGAACAAATTTCCTCTTCCCCCTATTCCCTATTCTAGTTAAATTATCCTTTACCTTGGCCAGAGCAAATCTATAAAATTGTACCCAGTTCTAAATGCTACATTTTAGGAAGTGGAGGACCAAGGCTGTGAGGAGATTTGCAGGCCATGCCAGGAGATAGTTAATGAAATTGGTGATGGTTACCTTAAGAAAGAGAAAACTAAGGGGGACATGATAGTGGCCTTTAAGTATCGGATTAGGTGTCAGGAGAAAGAGGGATTTGTTTGGCTCCAGATGACTGAACTTGGAGCAGAGACATGAATTTCAGTTTGATATAAAGAAAAACTTCTTAATAAATATAGCTTCTTGTCACCAGAGAGCTTCAGAAAGCTATGTAAAGGTGAGATAATGATGAAAAATGTTACCTACTTCCTGACAGGTGATGGATTTAAGAAGCAGAATGAAACATACCTGCCCAGGGTCACACAGCTAGTAAGTGTCTGAGGCTGGATTTGAACTCAAGTCCTCCTGACTCCAAGGCTGGTGCTCTATCCACTGTGCCATCTGGACATCCTTGAAACATACCTTTTTAGATATGACTAATGTACACATTTGTTACAATGATTTTTTTCAGGTTGGGGTGTTTTGGGGGGGGCAAGGAAGGAGGGAAGAAAAATAATAAATGCTTATTAATTGAAAAATTAAAATTTCATTTTTAGAAAAGCTATGTTAAGGTGGTGATGGATAGGTTGTGTTGGAGGAACATCTCAATGAATGAAATTAACTCTTAAAAAATTGGAGATGTCTGTTTACTGACAGGAAATGACTTGGTTGACCCCTGAGGTATCTTGGGGGAGGCAGGAAAAACACCTACCAGTATTTGAAAGACTGTCATGAAGAAGAGAGATTAGGCTTTTTTTTTTCACTTGACCCCACAGGACAGAAGTAGAAATAATAGGTAGACATTGCAGTTGGGCAGATTTTAGGATCAATATAAGGAAAAATTCCTAATAACTAGAGCTATCTTGAAGTGGAATAATAGACTGCTTCTGGTACATAGTGGAGTCCACCTTCCCCAAGGCCTTTATGTAAAGCCTGAATGACCACTTATCAGGTATGTTTAAGAGACAATTTTTGTTCAGGTGTCAGTTGGATTAGGTAGCTATTGACATCTCTTCCAAGTTTGATGCTCCGTGTCATTCTGTGAATAAGATGGAGAAATACTGTCCTAATCTACACCAGGGAACAAGGTCTGGTGATTCTAGAAGTCCCAGACAATTTAGAATTCAACTTGTCATTCTAGAACCTGCCCCCCATCTTATTCTGCCCAGCCCCTTGGTCTGAACGGTTGCTTTTCCTGCTGTTTCATCCTTCCCGCTCCTGTGATCATGAATAGCCTCTTCTTTCAGGTATGTCCAGAAACATTCTGGACCTGAGAGAAGCTAGTTTCTTCTGTCCACTCTATCCCAGTCCTTTCTCGTGGCCCTGCTCTCTTTTTCATCCCACCTATCCCATTCTCATATCCTTTCCTTGAAACCCCATCATCTCTTTAAGTGTCCCTGCTATGACCCTATCCTTCCCATGTGACTCTGTCCTCTATTCCATATCCCTATCTTCACCGTGTAAGCCTACCCTCATTTTGTGCCCTCTATCCTCTCTCCATGTCTTTATTCTGCCCTTTACCACATTCTCTCCTCTACTGCTCAGATCTAGTCCTTTCCCAATATTACCCACCTCTTCTGGTGACCCTGTCTCCTCCCCATGACCTGTCTTTGTCTTTTAGTCCCCCAAGACCATCCATATCCCTGGCAGCAGCACTGTGGGCAATGGCTTTGAGTTGTGGGACATTGGCTGCTTCAGCACTGAGCGCAGTCTTGCCAAAAAGCTCAAGAAAAATCCTTTTTATCCCTTCTTTCAACAGCAGGCTAATGGTGAAGCAGGGCACTGGGAGCACTGGGGAGAGGGGAGTAAGGGGGTCCTATTGGATATTGGAACATGAGGACCTGGGAAGCAGAGGGGACACTGGGAAGGGCCCAGATGTCAAGAGAGGACAAGAGGAATTAATAATACTGGAGCAGGGAAAGGGCAGAGGACAACTGTGATCCAACACTCCCCCTGCTCTTCTTACAGTGTATGTGCTGGAATACTACCAGGACACCTTGTGGAAGGGGATTCTGCTTTTTTTGATCTGCGTCATACTCATGAGTCTTGGGTTGTTCAAGAAGGTATGAATCCCCATCTCTTCCCCATCTATCTCCTTCCTATACAGTCTTTATATCTTCTTTTGACGCCTCCCTCATATTCCTCCCACAATCTCACCCATCTCCTCCCCGTCTGTTCCCCATGAAGCCCTCAGGCTGTGCATCTGTTGCCCCTCATTTTGGTTTCATGACCAGCCCGCCTCCTTTTGCAACCCTACACGTTCCGGATCAGTATACTCTATGCCACTTCTTGCCATCAAGTCAAGTCATCTTTGGCAATATGCCATTGCCTCCTGAGACGTGCCATATATTGTAATTCTCTCTGTGCTCCTTTGTGTCACTCACAAATTGTGATTTATCCCAGACTGTGAAGTTCTCTGATTTGTTCCCATATAGGACCACCAGAAGATAATGTGTTAAGAAGATAATAATTATAGCTAGCATTTTATATAATGCCTTAAGTTTTGCAAAGCACTTTACAAATGTTGCCTTATTTGATCCTCACAATAACCCTGGGAGGTAGGTGCTATTATTGTCTCCATTTTATGGAGGAGGAAACTGAGGCAGACAGTGACTTGCCCAGGGTCACACAGCGGGTAAGTGTCTGAGGTTCGATTTGAACTCAGGAAAAGGAGTCTTCTTGATTCCAGGCCCAGTGCTTTGTTCATTGAGCCACTTAGATGAGTTTTTGTGTCAAGGATCAAGTTGGGACTGTTGTACAACTACCCAAATGCAGCCCAACTTACTGTCTTCTTGCTATTTAATTCTGGGTCCATATCCTTATTCATCTCCCATGCCTGTTCAAGATTTACGTACTGATAGATGAACTCTACGGGTTGCCCGTCCATCTATATGTCATGCTAGGCAATAAACAGTCTTCATCCACTTAAGTTTCTCTTTTGTATGTTGTCAGGCCGGTGGAGTGGCTGTGTTTATAATGGGGGAGCCTCTTGACCCAATGACATCCACAAATAGGAACATCGAGCAGACCGTTGTCATTCCGTCATCTCAGTCAGGTCTGACCCTTTGTGACCCTGTTTGGGGTTGTCTTGGCAAAGATGCTGGAGTGCTTTGCCATACCCTTCTCGGTGGATCGCTTTGTCAGGAAACCAGAAGTGAAGTGACTTGCCCAGAGTCACATAGCCAGGAAGCCTCTGAGGCTGGATTTGAACTCAGGTTTTCCTGACTCTGAGCGCAGTGCTCTATCTGCTGAGCCACCATCTGCCTCATCGGGAAGACTGAGGAATTCTCGCATAGGATAGTCTCCGTGACAATTCAAACACCTTCTAGTAGCCAACACGTGTTGTTCAGTTGTGTCCGAGTCTCAGTGACCCAAAAGATGTCGTCAATGGGATTTTCTTGCCATTTCCTTCTCCACTGTGTCTCCATTTTACAGATGAGGAAACTGAGACACACAGGGGTTAAGTGACTTGCCCAGTCACACAGCCAGTAAGTGTTTGAAGCTGTATTTGGACTCGGATCTTCCTGATTCCAAGCCCAGTGATCTATCCACTGCGCCACCTATGTCTCTATTTTATGCCTCAGTTGATAATGGTCATCAGAAAATCACTGAACAAAGTTATCTTAGTGGCTGTGTCCATCAGAGGATCTTGTACGATGTTATGGGTGGGGGAAATAACAGATTTGAGGAGAACCTTTAAAACTGTGCATTGTTCTACTGAATTAAATGCTCTTTTGAAAGCCATAAACAATACACACAACAAAATTAGTTTTTGACCCAAGATGTGGTCTGTTGGGAAAAGTGTTCTTTAAAAACCTGACTATCCCTGTCTTATATTTCTATCAAAGTCACTCTTGATATGTGCATAGCCCATTTCACAGAGGTTTTATAAAACTGAGAAAGTAGCCATGTGGGCCAGTAGTTGCTTATCTCTTCTCAATCACCATTTTGTTTTTATTGGCAATAATATTGTTGGTAATTTTTTCCCCTACTCTGAGGTGTCATCCTGGTGTGGAGATGAACTTAGGTTCTTAAAGGTCGTGGCTGCAGAAGGCATTTCTAACAAGCTATGTATTGACAGATGCATTGATGGATACCAAATGGGATCCTAGCAGATAAATGTACATTTTTCAGAGATCCAGCAAAGCCAAGTACAGTGATGCATTACCAGCAGTTTGACCAATTAGTGATTAATTCTCTGTTCGTGGTGATCCATGTACCAAAGAAAAATACCAAGTATTTCCTGGTCCTGGACGGACCCCTTTCCTTTCCACAACAATGGTGGCAGAGTGCTGTGAAGGGGAACAGAGTGGGTTAAGAATGACAGTGTTTAGACCATCTATAAGGATTCATTTTAACTATTGGTGGTCTAAATGATCTTGGTCCAGTGACCATCAAGTCAATAGACTGCTGGAGGTGTTGAATCACATCAATGTTGACATTCTTATTATCAATGAACTCAAAAAGACGTGGAGAAGTTATATAACCAAGACTACTTCCTTCAAGAAGAGAATCATAAGGTGCCAGAATCATACACACACACTCACACACACACACACACACACAATTAACTGTTTCTAGGCTGTATAAATGACTGATTACTGGTGTGCTACCAGTGTAATTTCCAAATCAGATTCCGTTATAGATAATAGGATTGTCTATTTAGAGCTGAAATGGACTTCAGAAGCCATGCAGTCAATCTCATTTTATAGCTGAAGAAACTCAGGTCCAGGATAGTCTGGCAAAGGTCACAAAGACAGTATCTGAGGTCCTGGACTCTAAAGCCACTATTCTTCCTCCTGTGGAACCATGGCTTTGTTTAATGATGTTGTTTATTGATATCAGGTGATTCATAAAACAGGGAGACAAGAAAGCCAAAATGGTTTGTAGCTGTCATAGAGGACATCCTTCATAAATGGTAAGGTCTTCTAGATGCTCCTGTTTATGAATGACATTGTGTTGAAAACATTAGACCCTTCCCCCATCCCTATGTTGAACATTGCAGAGCCTCCTTAAGGAGATGCATAACCACTCAAAGGAGACTGGCATAACAATCCACACAAAAAAACAAATGGATGAGAAATGCCTATCATGCAGTTGAGTGGCTAGTACATTGAGTTAGACCATTAGTATATACATATTAAACAAGAATTTCAGGGGGCAGCTGGGTGGCACAGTGGATAGAGCACCAGCCCTGAAGTCAGGAGGACCTGAGTTCAAATCTGGCCTCAGACCAAACACTTGACACTTACTAACTGTGTGACTCTGGGCAAGTCACTTAACCCCAATTGCCTAAAAAAAAAAAAGAATTTCTGATAGACAAGGAGCTGAACTCAGAGTTGAATAGGAGTAAGAGTGGGTGGGATTGAATTTGGTTAAGTCCCACAGCACTTCCCCTGCTCCCAGGTTCTTCCCTGACACAAAGCCCCATCTTTTTTCATGTCATTGTGGAGGTTAAACCATAGAACACCATAATTTTAGAAGACCCAAAATTGTGGATGGCCCAAAAGGCAATGGAGAGATACCCAGTGGGCATAATTAGGCCACAGCATATGATTTGTTTACAAGAAGTAGCATACAAGATATGAGTTTAGGAAATGTAGGGTTGGAAAAGGAGGTGGGCTAGTCATCTAGCCAGAAGAGGAGATAATAGATGCACAGACCACATACTATATTGGTTCCTAGTGAATGTTAAAAGCCCTAAAGGGAAGCCTCTAGCACATTGGTAGATTCTTTGTGGGAGAATCAATGGGAAGACACAGACAAGTATGGCACAGGATGAGAAAATGTGGATGGTTGGCAATCTGAACTGCTAAAAAAGAGTTGTCCCCATGGATGAAGCTGAAGCTACATTGAAACATTGAAGTTTTGTCTCTTGTATCCTCCCTATACCCCCTTTTCTATTCTTCTATCTTTTCATATCCACCCACCTTCTGCCCCCTTAGGTCCCCACCCTCCCCGCTTTTGGGGTTTTGACAGTCCCTCTCTACCTAATCTTGGTACTCCAGGTGCACAATCAGGAGACATGGGGTTTCCCTGCTTATGGAGTTGGCATTGGTTTGTGGCTCGCTGTCTCATCGTTGCCAAGGCGCCGCCTAGTCTTGAACCATACTCGTGGGATGTATCACTTCTCCATCCACGGCCACACTGTCTATCAAGGGCCCCTGTACCGCATCTACATCCGCCTTGCCCTTCGATCTGATGGTATTTGACATGACTGGGGGGAGCAGGGAATCTGACAAGGGAGGTGGGGACCCACTTGGGGACAGGGACAAGAGTCTAAGAATAAAGGAACAGTAAGTTGAGGATTGGGGTGGGGTGAGGCTAATGAGTTAGGGACAAGGACAAGGATGGGAAACTGCAAACAGACAGGCTCCTGGAGGGACCTAGGGATGGAGAAGACAAGTTCAAGGTAGGATTATGGGAGTAGGGACAAAGAAAGACAGTGCTGAGGATAGATTCCAAGAGCTAAAGAATGGGTTTGGGAAGCTGGGTTGGAGAAAGAAAGAACAGAGTCAGGGAGCTGGAAAAATAGAAAAGGAGCTCAGGTTAGGAACAGAAAGTGGGGAACAATGCATTGAAGTTAGGAATGGAGACGGAGTTAAAAACAGGGATAGGATTCTGGGGAGGGGATCATTAGAAAAGGGGTGCTGGTAATAGGGTGAGGGCATTGTGATGAGGACAGGGATTGGAGAATATGTCCAAAGAACTGGGATAGGGGCCAGAGACCAGAAGGTCCTAGGGCACAGGCCAAGGAGATGAAGATGGGGACATGGCTGTGAAATAAGAGACAGGGACAGGGAGTCAAGGATTGTCAATGAGGGCTAGGGAACGGGTTGGGATAGACAGAAGACAGTGGGGGACATAGGGAGGAAGACAGTCCCTGGGTGTGAGGGCAGCTCAGAAGTGCCCTCCTCTTCTCGTAGCCTATGGCAAGTGCTTCTTCCAGTTGGTCCTCTGTGGTTACAAGCTGGAGCCTCTGGTACTGGTCAAGCTGTCAGAGCACTATCAGGTAAGGATTACATCCCCCAGGCTCATCTCTCAAGCTTCATGGACCTCCCCTGACCCATTGACTTTCCTCTTATTTCTCCCCTCTCTGGCCTCCAGTGGTGTCCACTCACCCCTCCTAATCTTTTTACACCATGGTTCCCCTCCTGATTCTCTGACCTCTCATATCACTAATTATTTTCATTGCATCAGATAACCCACATTGCATAGACTAGATTTTAAAAATAGGAATCATTTATGATCAAATCAGTCAATCAGCATGTGCCTATTATATGGCAGGAACTGTACTAGTTTCTTGGGATACAAGTACAAAAAATGAAATAATCCCTACTTGAAACGGGAAAGACAATGAGAATATATAAAAATATATACAGCATAAATATAAAGTCAATGAATACAAACAATTACAAAGTAGTTAAATACAAGGTAGCTTGCTGGGAAGTGGGTTCTAGCAGTTTGGAATCAGGAATAACTTCATTCAGAAAATGCCACTGGAAAGGAAGAAAGGGACTTTATGAAGTGGAGATAACGAGAGAAATTATTCCAGGAATGCAGGATGACCAGTGCAAAGGCCTAGAGATGGGAGATAGAGAAGTTTCTCAGTTTCCTCATCTGAAAAATGGGGATATTAATAGTACCTACTTCCCAGGATTATCATGAGAATAAAATATTTGTAAAGCTCTTTGCAAATCTTAAAGTGCTATAGATATTATTATTATGACTCTATTATTATAACTCATTATTAACATTATTATAATATTAAACAACATGTTTTTTATTGTTGTTATTATAAATGTGTATGAAGAACAGAGAGAAAGAGATTTAGCTAGTTCACAGAATGCAGGAGGGGGAACAACGTCCAATGAAGCTGGAAACATTGGTTGGGGTTGGGTTGTAGAGTTAAACAGAAGCATTTATATTTTATTCTAGAGGTAATAGGAAACCACTAGAGTAGATTGAGTAAAGGAGTCATGGTGAGATCTGTACATAAGGAAAGTGACTTGGTATCATTTTATAGGATACACTTGAGGCAGGGGGATCAGTTAAAAGACATAATAATTTAGGTCAGAGACAGGAAAAAGTGACAGAAAGGAAGAGACAGAGAAAGGGGAAGGAGAAGTAGAGAACACAGAGATAGAGAAAGAACAAGAAGGTAAAAAGAGGAAAAGACAGAAAAGAGAAATGAGAGAAAGATGAGAGAGAGAGAGAGGCACATAGACACAAAGATAGAGATAGAAAAGAAACAGAAAAGGAGACAGTGAAAGGTGAGACAGATGGAATGAGAAGGAGAGTCAGGATCACAGACAAAGAAGGAGAGTAAGAAGGTGAAACAAGCTGATAGAGAAGTCTAACTAGGGAGTGAGGCAGACAGGAAGAGTCAGAGGGCAATAGGCAAAAAGACAGTAAGCGGGGGGGGGATAGTCAGAGATGTAGGGTCACACACAGAGACATAGTGTACTCAAGACAAACAGTGACTTGTCTAACACATATCAGCCATTTATTCAGCTTCATATATGCCAAGTTCCCGGATAAAGAAACCTGGCCAGGGTCTTGGTGAGGACTCTAGGTTCTATGAGAATTGGGAACTGTGGACCTTTTCTGGGAAAGTGAGCCACCAGGGCCAGTGGGAAGTCCTTCTTGCAGGTAGCTCCACTACTGCCCAGACTATGACCCCACATCAGCCACTCCAGGAGAGGGGAGAGCCTAGAAGATTCTTTGGATAAGAATGCCTCCATCTCCTGACTCCTTAGCTCACACTGTGCCTCTCACAGCCCAAGGAGGCCTAAAACTTCTTGAAAACAATCCCACACACCCTCATTATACTTATTTTATACATGAGAAAATAGACCCAGAAGAGGAAAGGAAAGGGATCTTCCAAGGTTACACAGTGAATCAGGACCAAAGCCTCACCTCCCTCAAGTTTGGGTTCTGAGAAACCAAATTCTAGATCTTTCTGGGCCCCTGCTCCCCTCAGATAAGGCCTGTCTCCCTTCCATCACGTTCCTTTCTTTGCCTCTACAGCAGTTGGAATTCCTGGGTCGCCATATTGCTCGTAAGCTGAACATCAACTACTTTGACTGCATGGCTGTGTCCTACCGTCATGTTGTCCGCCACTGGCCATTGGGATCTGTATACAGCCCTGGAATTGTTCCCCGCCGCAACTTTTCCTATGTACCCCGGTACAGCCTTTATCAGGAAGACGATGTGATGGTCTGAGATCAGCCAACATATATTATGAGAATCTTATTCTAATCCCATTTCCCCAACATTCCACCCAGATGTCTCAGGTCTTTCTCTTCCCTGTCTTTTACCCCACCTGTATTCCTCACTACCCAGCCCTGCTCATCCTCCCTCTCAATAAAGCTACTTCCTCCTAGCCCCCTCAGGTCTAAGTGTTCTTTGTCATTTAATAACTCATATTCATGTGATATCCTATTTTTTTTTAGGCAATTGAGGTTAAATGACTTGTCCAGGGTCACACAGCTAGTAAGTGTCAAGTGTTTGGTCTGAGACTGGATTTGAACTCAGGTCCTCCTGACTTCAGAGCCGGTGGGTGCTCTATCCACTGCGCCACCTAGCTACCCCTGATATCCTATTTTTTCTCTAAGAGATTTTTCAACAATAAGCAGGTAGTAGAAGAATTATAATGTTCAATTTTACAGATAAGGAAACTGAAGCCTAGAGAAGTCAAATAAGGTAGTATACACCATAAATGTCAGGATTCAAACTTATGTCTCCTGAATTGAAGGCCAGTGCTCCCTCTGCCTCCTCAGGCTCTGGCTAAGTAGGGGACAGCTCTCTTAGCAAGCTAGAACCAGGCCCAGACTTGACCCTCCTCCAGGCGGAGGAGGGCCTATCAGTTGAACAAACAGATTGAGCAAACATTCATTGAGGAGCTACAGCTGTTAAGTTCTGCCCTTGGGTTCAAAAAAGCAACTATATGAGTACAGGATGGGAAGGTGTGTTTCTCTAAGAAAATCAACGTCAGGTACAAGGTGCTCAAAATTCATAGCTCAACCATAGTCTTTGCCAATTTGTTTACTTTTGCTAACCAGCCAGAAGATATAAAGATATTTAATGAAATAGAGTAATAAGAATAAAGCATTTCCCCCTTAAGCTTTCTACCTATACCATTCATAGGAAGACTGGAAAAACCTATGTAATGTGCAGAAAGGCCCACACATGGGGAACAAGAGTGGCTAGTCTGTATGGTGGAACAGATTATATCTTTGTCACTACATTGCTGTGCTACCAATGACTTTTGCAATGTCATTACATTGCTCCCACCGTTTTCTGCTGGGGGGTAAGTAGGTGTTGTTCCTTAGTTATCCGGAGTACTCACTGACCTCTTGGTCCCGTGTCTCCACTGGTCTTCATGGCTGCCAAGCTTCTCTTTGTTATTAGCTTCTTGGTTTTATCTCTTCAGTATATCTACTGACCACCTCAGTTCCTCTCTAGTAAGGTTCAATGACTAATAAGCCTCTCTTTTAAGAGGAGATTGAGGAGGGTTGAGCCAAAAAGGCATACTGAAACACTTCTGCTGAGCTCTCCCAACCCAATCCTCTGAACAACTTTTAAAAAAGTATGCCAAATCAAATTCTGAGTGGGATAACAACAACAACACAATAATGCACTTTTCTAGCCCAGGACGGCTTAGGAGAACAAAAAGAGAGGTCTGTGGACATTACGGTGGGAGTTGGTTGAGAATGCAGCTGGATACGGGGTCAGGAGGCAGGGGGAGCAACAGCATGGTGGCAGCAGAAGTGCTCACCGGATCAAAAAGGATATTACAGGGAACACCTATGTTAGCACTGGGTACAAAACTAGGGACAATTGGCAGCTCCTTCACCCATCACCCAGCTCCAGGTCATAGTTCCAGGGTGAAGAGGAGTGGTTAAGGTCTGTGGTTGTGAGGGAGTAGGGGACCTACCTGCTTAAGAACCTGAGTACAAACTAGGAGGATGGTGACCAGAGCTCTCCCCATATCACACCATCTTGGAAGCACTGAAAACCTGCAGGTCCCCAGATTTAGCCACAGAAGTTTACCATCCCCCTCCCAGCCCCAGAGGTGAGTAAAGCCCAACTCTAACATAAAATCCAAAGTCAAGAAATAGGCTGGAAAAAGGAGCAAACAAATCTGATCATAAAAAACTTCTATGGTGACAGGGAAGTTCAAGATACAAACTCAGAAGAAGACAATAACTTAACATCTACAAGCAAGGCCTCAAATAAAAATGCAGAATAAATCTAAGTCCAACAAGAATTCTTAGAAGAGCTAAAGAAAGAGATGAAAAAAAGAGCAAAAAGGTGATTTTTAAAATCAAGAGTAGTAGAAAAAATAAGGGAAAGAAATGAGAGTCATGCACGAAAATTATGAAAAGAGAATTAACAGCTTGGTAAAAGAGGTATGAAATCACTGAAGAAAATAACTCCTTAAAAGTTAGAATTGGGGGCAGCTAGGTGGCACAGTGGATAGAGCACTGGCCCTGGAGTTAGGAGGACCTGAGTTCAAATCCAGCCTCAGACACATAACACTTACTAACTGTGCAACCCTGGGCAAGTCACTTAACCCCATTGCCTAGCCAAAAAAAAAAAGTTAGAATTGGTCAAGTGGAAACTAATGACTCTGAGACAACAAGAAACAATAACACAAAGTCAAAAGACTGAAAAATGGAAGAAAATATGAAATATAAGAATGACTGACCTGGAAAATAGATTGAGGAGAAATGATTTAAGAATTATTGGATTACCTGAAAACTATGATCAAAAAAGAAAAAGAAAAAAGAACCTAGACATCATATCTGAAGAAGTTATGAAGGAAAATACCCAGACATCATAGAAGAAGAGGAAATTGAAAGAGTCCATCAATCACTTCCTCAAAGAGATAAAAGAGATCCCTACAGAAAAACACCCCAAAATGAAAATTCCCAGGAATATTATATCTAAATTCCAGATTTCCCAGGTCAAGGGGAAAATCCTGAAAGTAGCCAGAAAGGAAAAATTAAAATACCATGAAGCTAAAGTCAGGATCACACAAGATTTAGCAGCTATCACTCACTATAAAGAAATAAAGGACTCAGAACAGGAAGCAAAGGAGCTAGGATCACAACCTAGAATAACTTAGAATAACTGAATATATTTCTACAGGGGAAAAAGTGGACGTTTAATAAAAAAGGACTTTCAAGCATTCCTGATGAAAAAACTGGGGATAAATAGAAAATTTGACATTCAAACACAAGACTCAAGAGAAGCATAAAAAGGCAAACATGAAAGAGAAAACATAAGGGACTCAATAAAGAAACTGTTTGCAGTCCTTTTCTTTTTAAAAAAAAGTTTATTATTTATTTTTAATTTTCAGCATTCACTTCTATAAGATTTTGAATTCTAAAATTTCTGTCCTTCCATTCTCTCCCCCTCTCCAAGACAGCATGAAATCTGATATGTTATACATATACATTCATGTTAAACATTTCCACATTAGTCATGTTGTAAAGAAGAATTAGAACCAAAGGGAAAAACCACGAGAAAGAAGAAACAAAAAAAAAGAAAAAAAGAAAATAGTATGCTTTGATCTGCATTCAGACTCCATAGTCTTTCTCTGGATGTGGATAGTATTTTCCATCATGAGCCTTGGAATTGTCTTAAATCCTTGCATTGCTGAGAAGAGCTAAGTCTATCAAAGTTGGTCATTGCACAGTGCTGCTGTTATCCTACACAACGTTGTCCTGGTTCTGCTCATTTCACTCAGCATCAGTTCATGTAAGTTTCTCCAGGTTTTTCCGAAGTCTGCCCACTCATCATTTCTTATGGAACAATAGTATTGCATTACATTCATATACCACAGCTTGTTCAGCCATTCCCCAGTTGATAGGCATCCCCTAAATTTCCAATTCTTGGTCACTACAAAAAGAGCTGTTATAAATATCTTTGTAGATGTAGGTCCTTTTCCAATTTCTATGATCTCTTTAGGAGACAGACCTAGAAGTGGTATTTCTGGCTCAAAGGGTATGTTTACATTCCTATATGGGAAGATGGTAGATGTAACTCCTTAGAATTGTATCATTATTAAGACTATTAAATTGAGTGTGCATAGCCAGAGGGCATGAGTGTGAGTCTATTCTGCTGGGATAGACTCAGAAAAAAAAGGGAAGAGTGAGAAAGCTGAATGCATTGGGAGAAGGGGGAAAGGAGACAAAGAATGAGGAAACTTACCTCACATAAAAGAGATGGGCAAACAAGAGTTTTTACAATAGAGGGGAAAGTGATGGAGAGAGGGCGATGCTTGAACCTCAATGTCATCTGAAATGGTTCAAAGAGGGAACTATATATACATGTACATACACACACACACACACACACACACACACACACACACACACACACACACACAGAGTTGGGTATAGAAATTCATCTTGCCCAAAAGGGAAGTAAGAGGGGAAAGGAATAAGGGAAAGGGAGAATGGCGGTAAGAGGGAGTGTAGATTAAGTAAGGCAATAATCAAAAGTTAAACAGATTTTTGAGAAGGGCGAAAAAAGATAAGGATAAATAGAAGAGAACAGAATAGAGGAAAATACATAATTATCAGTCATAACTGTGAATGCAAATGGGATAAACTCATCAAATGGAAGATTATAGTAGAATAGATTAGAAAACAGAATCCAACAATATATTGATTATAAGAGACACGCTTGAAACCAAAAGAAACACTCAGAGTTAAAATAAGAGAGTGGAGCAAAATCTATTGTGCTTCAGCTAAAGTGAAAAAGATGGGGTAGCAATTATGATCTCAAACAAAACAAAAGCAAAAGCAAAAATAGACTTAATTAAAAGAAACATTCAGGGAAACCATATTTTGCTAAAAGGTACCATAGACAATGAAATAACATCATGACCATGTATTTAGGGTATAAAAACCTCATAAACAAATGCAGAAAAGCAGAAATATTAAATATACTCATTTTGGATCACAATGCAATAAAATTATATTTAGTAAAGGAAACTAAATCTAATTCTAAAGAATGCTATCTATAGCTATCTATACTTGCATGATATACAATAAACCCACACAAATCATTTGCATTTCTGGCAAGATAGAGAAATTCCATTTAAATAACTGTAGAGAGGGCAGAGCCAAGATGGTGGAGAAAAGGCAGCAACTCACCTGAGCTCTCCCCAAAACCACTCTGAACACCTTCAAATAATGTCATAAAACAATTCCTGGAGTGGCAAAACCCACAATAGGACAGGGTGAAATAATTTTCCAGTCCAAGACAGCTTATAAAGTTGACAGGAAAAATCTGTCTCACTGGGGTGAGAGTGGAGCTGTGCCAGCACAGACCAGGCCTCAACAAACCAGGAGCAGGCCTTGGGAGACACT